AAATGTTATAATGGGAATAATGGAAGACGTTGAAATATTGAGTGTGAATAAAGAAAATTACATGGTGTATGAGAATAAATGTGGATTTGATAAGTTAAGCAAGCTATTGTTGGGATAAATTCGATTGAAAGGGGTATATGATTAATTAATTAATTAGGGCATGTGCCCTAGATTGAACAGTTGATATTTACTAACTGTGATAGTAAAGGTGATAGAGTTATAAGAATGAAAGAAAAGATAAAGTGAGTTAATTAAGTATGATATGTTTTTGAATATGGTTATGTATTTGGATCATATAGATTTGATAAAGGCAAAGAGAAGAATATTTACAAGTTTTAAAGGGAACTTTGAGGAAGAAAAAAATACAGGTACAAGAAATGGTGAAAAATAAGATTTTGTATAAGTAAAGGGGATTATCAAAGTTATGAAGATGCGATGAAGATCAGTAATAGGAAAAGAGTATGTGAACATGAATGAAAAGATGTGATCTATGTATAAGGAGATTTTGCTTTTAAAAGAATAATGGAATAAGGAAATGAAAGGATGAAGTATAAAGGATCAGATGTGATAAAGGTTATATGAAAGTTTGATGATAAGTTCGATATAAAAATATGAAAAGTGTGCAAGGTGATGTGAAAAGATTGTTTGATTCCGTAAATTATGTGTTTAATCACAATTAAAGAAGATTTAAGGTTGTGTTCTTTGTCAAGTAAAAGTAGTCAAAGAAATGAAGAATGATTTATATATATTAAAGAAGTTTTAGAGGCAATCAAGTAAGGATGGAGTAAAAGTTTGGTTATTGTTGCAAGGCAATTAAAAATATTTATGAGGAATTTGATTGATTTATGATGTTAAGTAATGAGAATAGAGATTTTTATATAATGAGTGACATTATATGGATTTTAGAAAAGTCAAAGGGCAATGCATAATTGAAGAAAAGAAAATACAGACATGGATTGGGTTCTTTGAAATTGAAGGCAAACCATTTACTATAAATTGTGAAGGAATAAAGTTGTGAAAGCAACATAAGAACATTCAAAGATATGTTCTTGTTGATATGTACAATGAAAATTTGAGGACGAATTTTCTTAAAAAGATGGGAGATTTGTAACATCCCAAACTACGGGTTAGTGATTAAATTGTAAAATTTTAGAATTTGGTGATTAAAGTGGAAAAGTTGAATAGTTCAATGAATTATTTAAGAATATTTCCTTAAAGTTATTAGTAATTATCAAAGGAATTAAAGGGCAAAATGGTCATTTAACAAGAAAGATATTTTTTTCTTTTCCTATTGTATAAATGAATCATGTGGGGGGAAGAGTTATCTTCTTCTTCTTGCTTTCTTCTTCTTCACCGTGGACTTCAAGAGCAAAGGTAAGATTTCTTAATTTTTGATTATTAGCTGAATTTTAAGTTGGGGTTTGATCATTAGATGATAACTAAGCTTAAGGAAAGCTTAAGTCATCTTAAAATCAAAAGATGAAGAAGTTATGAAAGATTAAAGAAAATGGGGTTTTAAGTGAATTTTTGGAAAAGAGATGATAAGTTGAATTTGAAACTAAATTTGACTGGTCATCAACTTAATTAAGAGATATGAACTGATAGAATTGGATTTAGAAAATCTTAAAAATTTGGTATGATTATTATTTTCATATGAAAGATGTAATTTTGAGATTTAAGATGAGATAAATGGATATAAATGAGTTTAAGCATGTGTATGTGAGTTAAGGATATGAAAGGGGTTGAAATATGGCAATTAAATTAGAAGGAAATAATTTACGTGAATAAAAGATAATTCTGAACTAGTGTGCATCGATACACATTCAACATGTACCGATGCATCAAGGGTAAATTTCCAGAAATTATTCAGTGTGCATCGATGCACACAGGTAGGCATCGATGTATGAGAATTTCGAAGCCATTTGGTGTACCGATGCACCCATAGTGCATCGATATACCCCTAAAGGAAAAATGAAATTGTGGTTCATTAAATTAGCTTGAGTTATTAACATCAAGTTATAAGGTTTAGGCTTTTGATAATCGTATCGGAATTTATGTTTATGTAGATATTGAGCCTAAACAAGTTCTGGAACAATCAAAGAATTATGATCGAATCAAAGCAAGGCTAAGGTGAGTGCAATTTAATTTATGCTTATGTTATAGAACGAATATTTGTAACACCCTCAACCCGTACCCGACCCGGATACGAGTCTGAGGTGTCACATTGACTTTTCAAACTTTGACGCTTGATGAAAAATCAAGGAAATTTAAAACTTTCATTAAAATAAGAGTGTTACTTTACACAAGTTAACCAAAACAAAACAAAATTGATCAGAGCATTTGTAACAGACACTTTTCTTATATGCCAACAATATACACGACAAAAGACATACTTTATCCTTTACTTCTGATCTGATCTTCTAGTAGTGTAGTTGTTCTTGCCACCCTATTTCTGCTCTTCCTGATTCTTGGTACCTACGTGTAAATCACTTACACGCTAAGTCATAGACTTAGTGAGGCATATAAATATAATAATAATGCATTCAGTATGAATATGAACATACAATCTATCCATTCAATCATGTTGAAAACAATTCAATATAAACAATAATAATATGATAACATATAACTATAACAATGTAATTACCTTTGATAACCTTTTATAGGCCCATGTATATTTTTTAGAACTCAAGATATTCGAGTACATTGAGGTTGTGCACTATGCTGTCACCACAGCTCATATGGGTTCCACTAGGGGCTATGAAAATTTGTCCCGAATGACATATGTATTGTATTTGTCCCAAAGGACCACTCTTTAAGAACCATATACATATTCCAGTGGATCAAATCTGTCTCAAAAGACCCTGTAAATGTTCCAAAGGATACATATATGTCCTGAAGGACCACATAGAACCCTCGACTCTTGGCATGCCAACTATACCTATAGCTCTCATATCGTATACCATGGGCATTATTCTTATGTTTCATATGTTCATGTATTCATGTCATTTCTCTTGTGATCACATAACTCATATCATTTACCATGTCACATGTACATTTGAATCTATTCATATATATCATTTATCAAATCATATGAACATATATACTTTATGCATATATCATAATAATTATCATGTATGCATGTTCATAACTATTGTGCTATGAAAATCAACATAGGAATTATAATTATCACAAGTCTTATTCCATTGTACCATACTTCTAATATGTACTCACCTTAGCCTTGCTTTAACTCGATTCTAATCCTTCAATTGTTCCGGAACGAGATTACGTTCTAAATCTACATAGTAATACATTGATACATATCAGTATACTAATTGATATATTCTAAACTATCGTTCCTTAGGCTAAAAAGAAAGCTATTTCCAACTTTTAATGAAGGCATGCATCGATGCACTACACCATGTATCGATGCATCCCTTGACAGGTGCATCGATACACTATCCATGCATCGGTGCATAAATCCTATTCGATGTTTGTATTTTAAGCAGGTGCATCGATGCACTTATTATGCATCGATGCACTAATTGCATTCGATGTTCATTTATTTGAGAGTGCATCAATGCACATTGAAGATGCATCGATGCACACAACCCAGAAATATACTTTGAGCACGAAAATCCCTTCTTTATTATATCATCTCTTCATATTTCATCCCTTTTTCTATTCTTAACTCTTATACACCTATTTAAACTAATCTATACTCATTTATTTCATCTTAAACCCCAAAATCCCATCCTCCTTATGAGATTCAAGAATTATACCAACTTTGCAACATGATTTAATTCCACTTCTAACACTTCATATGTCTTAACTAGATTGATGACAAGTCAAATCCAACTTTCAATTCTAATTATCAACTCTATATCAAAATTTCATTCAAGAACTCTAAATCTTTAATCTTCCCTAACTCTTTTATCTTTTGATTTTAAGATAACTTAAGCTTTCCTTAAGCTTAGTTATCATCTAACAATTAAAACCCAAACTTTAAATTAACAAATAATCAACAGATCAGAAAGCTTTCCTTTACTTGGCTCTCTTTCACGTATGAAGAAAAAGAAGAAAGAAGAAAGCTCTAGAGAAATCTCTCCTTTCCCACGTGTATATATCCTTACCATATCCCATTTTTAATTCATTTCTTGGTCAAATGACCCTTTTGCCCTTTAATACCTTTTATAATTACTAGCATCTTTAAGGTAATATTTCTAAATAAATCATTGAACTATTCAATTATCCTACTTTAATCACCAATTTCTAAAACTTTATAATTTGGTCACTAACCCGGTATTGAGGATGTTACAATTCTCCTCTCCTTTAAAGAAAATTCGTCCTCGAATTTTCACTGAACATATTAATAAGAACATATCTTTTAATGTTCTCGTGTTGCTTTCTCCACTTTATTCCTTACACAATTGCAACTAATGATTTGCCTTCAATTTCCAAGTAACTCAATCCATTTCGATCTTTTCTCTTCTTTGGTTATACACCTACTTTTGATCGTTGAAAAATAATTTCCAACCAATGACTTACTTTTGCCTCCATTCTCATCACTTTATATCATAAATCAATCTATTTCTTCATTAATCTCTAATTACCTTATAACAATAACTCAAACTCTTATTCCATCATCATTTGACCAAAGCACAACCTTAACTCTTCTTCAAATTTGATTAAACATACATTTTACAGAATCAAACAATCTTTTCATAACACTATCTACTATTTCCTTATTTTTATATCCACTTATAATTCACACTTTACACCCTTTTCATTTAATTTCCCTATCTATTTACTCCTTTATAAATCACTATCTCCTTGTCTCATATTTCATATCTTTTTCCTTATTCCAGTCACAAATTACTTATCCCTTTTTATTATCTTGAACGTTTCAGTTAATTTTTACTTCCGCCAAACATACAAATCATTTATCTTTATTACACTCACTATCATACTACTTTATTATTCAACTCATTTCTTCCAACAAAACATACCCCACCATCAAACCATTCATATACTATACATTCTTCTCAATCAAAAATAGTTCGTCCTCCATTTCCTTAACTTATCAAACCTTCATTCTCAGTTATCCCTAATACAATTTCCTTGGTTTGCATTCAAACATTCCATTTACCTTTGTCTTATAAACTGATTATTGATGTACATATTTTCCAATTCCTCGAAAATAATAGTATACATCACTTGTTCTTTTAATATTCCCCTAATAACACCTATTCCTTCTACCTTATCTTGTCACTGAAGTAAAGAAACTACTTTATTTTAGAACGATAGAGATCTTCTAACCATATAGTTTCCAATCTTACTTCAAATAATTTAAATAGTAATTCCATCAAATTAACAGGGAATTCAATTCTCTAAATTCTAATGGAACATTCTCAACATATCTTATTTATCCAAACATTGTACCCTAATAAATTTGTCACTTCCACATCATTATAAATAACTTCTAATTGAATTCTCAATACTCACATCAATTTACTACTAATATATGAATATGCAAGTCCAGATCAATCAATATCATAACGTATCTATTACATAATAAAAAGGTACATGTTATCATCTTTGGATCATCAAAATCTTCATTAATATTAATATTATACACTCGAGCAGTGGAACGTATTTCCTGTTGAGTAGAGGATTCAGGTTGACTTATACCTCTTCCTCTACTTCTTCTTCTTTGAGACATCGAAGAAGATCACTCTGACTGTACTGATTCTCATGTCCCCAATGGACAATCTCTCATTAAATGTCCCACTTCACCACATCGAAAACAAGCTCAAGTAACTACCCTACATGTTCCTCTATGGCTTCTTCCACAAATTTCACATTATCTAATTTGACTCTGCTGTGCTCGTCAATTACCAGACCCTACAGATTGAGTCTGTCTAGCTCTCATCTGATTTGATTCTCTTGCCACGGATGCCATCGACTCTAATTGTGCTGGAGATCAGAAACCAAAATCTATATTTCTCTTAGGTGGTGCAAAACTTGATGAAGCCCAAGTTCTTTTAGATGGTTGGGTTCTTTGATTCCCAAACCTTTCATTTTGAGCTCTCTCTAAGGCTTTAGCACGATTTACTACCTCTTGAAACAAGGATAAGTTCAACACTATTAGCATATCTTTTAAACTTGGGCGTAAGCCCTCAACACACCACTCGCAAGCATCTTTCTCTGTATGTACTAACTCTGCTGCAAAGTGACTTAATTTATTAAATTCGCACTCATACTCATATACAGTGCTGTCCAATTGCTTTAGGTTCAAGAATTTTTGCTTCATTTGCCTGATAAAGTGGTCTCCTTTATATTTGTGTTTGAACTCTTTTAAGAACAAGGACCAGGTCACTTTGTCACTTGTCATTCTCAGAGTGACATTTGTCCACCAGATTCTCACTTGCCCACGAAGCAAGGAGACCACTCCATCTAATTTCTCTACATTAGAACAGTGGAGACCATCTAACATAATTTTTACATCATTAAGCCAAAGGTCTGCAACAACAAGACCTTATTCGGCTTCACCTTTAAACTCTGGAGCTCATAAACCCTTCAACTCCTTTGCAACATTCATTCTCGGAGTTAAATTAGCAGGAGGTTAGAAACGCGTCAATACCGCATCTAATGTTCTAAAGAACACATCTTGATCAGTTACAGGCACTTCAGAAGGTGCCTGTTCTTCACCTTGCCTGGCTAGGGCAGGTGAATTACTACTTTCAGTGGGTCTATCATCTCCCGCTTCACTTCTAGAGCTACCATGTCCGGACATCTATAAGAACATAACCATATTGTTCTATTAGCAAAACAACATACTTACTATTATATCAGATCAGAAGTTTTCACTATTTTATTGGCATGAATACTTTATAGGACATTCTAGACTCCAGTTTATGCCGAGAAACAACTAAACCATAGCTCTGATACCATTAAATGTAACACCTTCAACCCGTACCCGACCCGGATACGAGTTCAAGGTGTCACATTGACTTTTCAAACTTTGACTCTTGACGAAAAATCAAGGAAATTTAAAACTTTCATTAAAATAACATTGTTACTTTACACAAGTTAACCAAAACAAAACAAAACTGATCATAGCATTTGTAACATACACTTTTCTTACATGCCAACAATATACACGACAAAAGACATACTTTATCCGTTACTTCTGATCTGATCTTTTAGCAGTGTTGTTGTTCTTGCCACCCTATTTCTGTTCTTCCTGATTCTTGGTACCTACGTGTAAATCACTTACACGCTAAGTCATAGACTTAGTGAGGCATATAAATATAATAATAATACATTCAGTATTAATATGAACATGCAATCTATCCATTCAATTATGTCGTATACAATTCAATGTAAACAATAATAATATGATAACATATAACTATAACAATGTAATTACCTTTGATAATATTTTATAGGCTCATGTACATTTTTGAGAACTCAAGGTATTTGAGTACATTGAGGTTGTGCACTATGATGTCATCACAACTCGTATGGGTCCCACTAGGGGCTAAGAAATTTTATCCCGAATGACCTATGTACTGTATTTGTCCCGAATGACCACTCCTTAAGAACCATATACATATTTCAGTGGATCAAATCTATCTCAAAAGACCCTGTAAATGTTCCAAAAGATACATATATGTCTCGAAGGACCACGTAGAACCCTCGACTCTTGGCATGCCAACTATACCTATACCTATAACTCTCATATCGTATACCATGGGCACTATTCTTATATTTCATATGTTCATGTATTCATGTCATTTCTCTTGTGATCACATAACTCATATCATTTACCATGTCACATGTACATTTGAATCTATTCATATATATCATTTATCAAATCATATGAACATATATACTTTATACATGTATCATAATAATTATCATGTATGCATGTTCATAACTATTGTGCTATGAAAATCAACATAGGAATTAGACTTATCACAAGTCTTATTCCAATGTACCATACTTCTAATATGTACTCACCTTAGCCTTGCTTTGACTCGATTTTAATCCTTCAATTGTTCCGGAACCAGATTACGTTCTAAATCTACATAGTAATACATTGATACATATCAGCATACTAATTGATATATTCTAAACTATCGTTCCTTAGGCTAAAAAGAAGGTTATTTCCAACTTTTAATGAAGGCATGCATCGATGCACTACACCATGTATAGATGCATCCCTTGATAGGTGCATCGATGTACTATCCATACATCGGTGCATAAATCCTATTCGATGTTTGTATTTTAAGCAGGTGCATCGATGCACTCCTTATGCATCGATGCACTAATTGCATTTGATGTTAATTTATTTGAGAGTGCATCGATGCACATTGAAGATACATCGATGCACACAACCCAGAAATATACTTTGAGCACGAAAATCCCTTCTTTATTCTATCAACTCTTCATATTTCATCCTTTTTTCTATTCTTAACTCTTGTACACCTATTTAAACTAATCTATACTCATTTATTTCATCTTAAACCGTAAAATCCTATCCTCCTTATGAGATTCAAGAATTATACCAACTTTGCAACATGATTTAATTCCACTTCTAACACTTCATATGTCTTAACTAGATTGATGACAAGTCAAATCCAACTTCCAATTCTAATTATCAACTCTATATCAAAATTTCATTCAAAAACTCCAAATCTTTAATCTTCCCTAACTCTTTTATCTTTTGATTTTAAGATAACTTAAGCTTTCTTTAAGCTTAGTTATCATCTAACAATCAAAACCCAAACTTTAAATTAACAAATAATCAACAGATCAGAAAGCTTAGCTTTGCTTGGCTCTCTTTCAAGTATAAAGAAAAAGAAGAAAGCTGGAGAAATATCTCCTTTCCCTCGTGTATATATCCTTACCATATCCCATTTTTAATTCATTTCTTGGTCAAATTTTACCCTTTAATACCTTTTATAATTACTAGTATCTTTAAGGTAATATTTCCAAATAAATCATTGAACTATTCAATTATCATACTTTAATCACCAATTTTTGAAACTTTACAATTTGGTCACTAACCCGGTATTGAGGATGTTACAATATTGGCTTATGATGAGCCAGTGACGGATTTACTATGATAAGAAGTAAATTCTAAAATGTTAGGTGATTTATATGTGTTAACAGGTTATTATGTATGTTACATGATTTGCATAAGTATATGTTAGTATGATAAGTCATATGAAACAACATAAATAATCTATAAGATTATATAAGAATATGAAATATGTTATAGAAATTACATGATGACATGTTTGTTCATTGGTGTTGTGATATATGTGTTATTTGATATGAATATGGTAAGTAAAAGGGGTTAATAGGGATGATAAGAATAATAAGGATAATGAAATGACATGTATCTGGGAATATATGTATATTCGATCCAAGTTATATGAATATATGAGAATACATGCCTATGTGATGAGCTATATGATGTATATATGAACATATGTGAATAGGATATGACATACGTACATGGACAAATGAGAAATGATATATATTATATGATATGGACCTATGTGACTACGTGATAAAGAATATATGTCTATGAGAAGGCATAAGAACAAAGTATAAGCAATGTGACATATGAATATGAATCATATGAAAATGTTCTACGTGTAAGTGAACTATGTGATGATATGATGTGTGATAAATATGAAAAATAATGCCCATTTTATGTGTCATGAGATCTAGAGGTATATTTGGCATGCCAAGAGTCGAGGGTCTACGTGGTCCTTCGAGACAATTCTACATGGTCCTTCGGGACATATATGTAATTCCGTGGAACATGTATGTGGTACTTCGATACACTTATTTGGTCCATTGTATTATGTTTATGGTTCTTAAGAAGTGGTCCTTCGGGATATATGTGATATGTGGTCCTTCGGGACATATGTGATATGTGGTCCTTCAGGACATAGTGGCCCTTCTGGACATTTCTATGTGGTCTTTCGGGAT